ACGCCTCCTTTTCCAATAACTAAAATTTTCCTTCAAGAGTATGCCGTGGATTTCACATATCTCCATCCCAAGTCCCAAAACTTTACCATAAACTCTTGCAGAGACATGCAGTATGAAAAATTCGGTTTGAAAGGGAGGTACCACGCCTCCTTCTGAAATAGATCCAATTTTTCTCCAGTAGTATGTGATCTATTTCATATGCGCCAATAGCAAGTTTCAGTACTCTTCCCTGAACACTTCCAGAGATATGCGGTATGAAAAATTCGCTTTGAATGGGAGGTGCCACGCCCCCTTTTCCAATAGCTCCAATTTTTCTCCAGGGGTATGCGATGTATTTCCTATATCTGGAGCACCCCTCTGACCCTACCTGGCTACGCCCATGCCTATAACCAACCTTTGAACATCTGCAAAAGGTGTCCGATATTTCGAAAAAATCGGTTTAGCCGTTCTCGAGCTTTGCTATATACATAGAATCTATGTCATAGATGGATAAGAGTTGCTGCTTTTAATATTGCGCTCACTTAGTACGTACAAAAAAACATGGCAGCAGGGTTTACATGCGTAATCATATACATACATATGTATGTATGTACATAAATATTCATATACAAATGTTAGTGCTAAAAGCAATGTTAATTGCTCCTTGTACATTAGGGCGGATCGAAAACCTAATTTTTCTCAAATCCCTTGGTAATAGTGCAAATATATTGAATCATGAAGTCAACAACAAGCCTGCAAAATATTAGTATTTTATTTTAATTGTAAGAGCCCGCGCAACGACCGCCAAGTGACCCACAGCACACTAGTCGAATAAAACCAATTCTTGTTAAAAATTCTGGGTTCAGCAAAATGGTTTGGTGCATATTATTAGATAATATCATTTCTCGCAGCCCTTTAGCTTAACGTTAATCTCAAATTTATCTGTTTTCAATCAAATTTTAATTGTTCTCTTGCCTTTAGTCAAAAGATGTAAAGAACAGCACTAATATTGCTGGCGTGAATTTAGGTCGCTGGTTCCAAATTTTCTAATCTTCTTTTAATATTAGCTATAGTTTGCGAATTTTTGCAAATTTAGGAACAATTTCGGTAGCTCCAATAGAAAAGCCATTATTTTCCATCGTCGTGGAAAAATTTTGTTCATGCAAATCAGTATGGAAACTCTGAACAGGCACAACTTCTAGTAACACTAATTAGTTTACTTATGTTTATGCATACAATATAAAAATTGCAAACATAGGAAAATTACAAATAATTTTGTTCAACATTTTTTTTATTTTAAAATAATTTGTTTATAATCTGAATGATTTTCATCATATTATTATCATAAAAAAGTAACAGTAAGTCTCGCCTTCAATTTGGTAATTATTATTATAAATTTAAGTGGATCTCCAGTTTTTTTCTAAAAAAAGTTCTCTTCAATTGTATAAATAACCTTTAAATGAAAGAACCGGATTACAGAAAAGTGTGCCAGGGACTGAGTTTTTTCGTTCAAGTTGAATGCAAACCAATATCGTCCTCAAAAGATTTCCGAGGATATGTTAAAGACTATTGCTTTTACCTACAGTCACTTTTTCCCATAATGGAATTAACTAAAATATTTATGTATATCTAAATACTTATTGCTCGTCCCCTAGTTTCATATAACCGCAAATTTGGAAACCGCGAAAAATGTGCTTCTTCGGTGACTAGATAATGAAATCATTCCGCACCATTTTTCAAGACCGCATACATGGACTTAAAATGGGCGTTTCTCACCCTAATTATATTATGTTAATGTATGTAAATATTTATATGCTTGAAAGTACTATTAACTTATCAAACGATTCCTAATCTTTGGCAATATATGTTTGACTTCATTCACTACGATCTTGAAAACTGTCCAAATCGGCGTGACCATGGTACTTTTAATATTATATAAACATCCGAAAACATTAAAATGTTTGAAATAAATCTCGTCTAACTTTTTTGTATTTTGCACTTGGTTGCTGAAGTATTAAAGAATTAAAAATTCATATGGGAAAATTATAGTTTTTGTAAGTTTTATCGTAATATCTTAAAAACTTATAGACTTATTGAAAAATGATAAATGAACGTGAGGTACTAAATTTAATAACCCTTAATTTGATATATCGCACTGTTTATAACAATGAACGCATTCCAAAGATAATACAAGCCAAAGTTTCATTTCAAAATTCATACACTTTAATTCAATTGCGCGGGCTGAAGATAAGTTTTAAATTAATGTTTCGTGGCCAATAACAATTGGCTTAGACCTAAGACATCATAATATTACCATTACAGTACGTTCAAATGCCTTTTATTTTCCCCCATACCAAATCGATCCATGTACATGCATATGTAATTGCCTACATTATTTATCCATAAACTATACATATGTATGTACATATTTTTTTTAATAAGAATAAACATTAATGTTAACATTAGCACATATGTATATTTTACATAACCCTTGCCTTGTATTCCGTACAAATTAACAGCAGAGGGCGCTCTTATTTGTTATTTGCTGGTAAGCAGCGCTGTTATGTGGGCATGTATGTTAGATTCAGGGTTGCCACTGACAAAAAAAATATTTACCATCCACTTTAAAAAAATCTACCAAATCTGGGAAATAACTTACAATAACTTTTTTATAATTATTTTAACAAAAACCATAGTTTTGTTATTTTTTTATTTATTTTAATGGAAACTATAGTTTTTTTTTATTTTTTTTTTTAGTTATTCCAATAAGAATTAAAATTGTTTTTAAGAGTATTTTATTTAACTAGTTATACGGTATTTGAATCATATTATTTGTTGGCATATTCTCAGTTTCCTTCAACCAAAAGCGGAAGTGATGAAACTAAAGGCAACAATGAAACTTCATTATTTGAAAAACTTCAACTCAAGTTGTTATAGACAAATACTGTGACTTAAAAAAGT